TGTAAAATTTATTGACTATATTATTTAACAAGTGTCTCATTAGTCATTACTCATTACTGTATATTGTATARTGTATATTTTCACCACATACAAGTGGGATTAATCGTTTCAAAAGTCCATACTACATTAACTACTTAAAAAAAAAATTTAAGTGATATAAATATACTAACTTTAATAAATATTTCTATATTTTATATAGAGTTGATAACTGAACAGTACCTTTAAAAATTTTAAATGTGAACGATATAATATATGTGTTAAGAATGTATTTCTTTAAGGATCTAGGTTATTTTTCGTTTTAAAAATAAATAGCTAGACACATTTTATTCATGAAATAACTGCGACCGTGTATAAAATAGTTGTGAATACTCTCGTAGACACGTCATATAAAATAATATTATAACTAACAAATCGTTTTTTCGTCTTTGAATAGGATAATATTTTTCATACGTTTATATTATAATATAATACAATTAACAAATTAAATGCCATGTTTCAGAAAACTGTTGATTATTTAAGATAATAATAGAAAATATGACGGGTCGGCAGATACGTCGTTTGCTGTAYGGACTGCTGATTTTAGCATTATTTGTCATTGTTTTACAYAGTGGTCGTACTGCATATTGGCTGGCTAAGGATGGACATTACTCAGGACAACCACACATTCCCACCGAAGATCAGCTAGATTACAATGAACAACAGGTAATAAAGATTATTTCCTGTATATATATATAACTAAAACCGCGGAAACAGTAGCGTAGCTGTATTTTACTTGTGTCTGCATCTACATCTCCCTCGGGAATAGATCATCRCTGTACCCAGATTAGTTCACGATTAAATTTGTGACGTATCCTCCAACATGTCTACATCCTACTGCAAGTCAAGTTGGTTTCCGCTTTCCACTGTATAAGATGACCGACTACATACATTTCACTTCCCATTTTGTACACAGGCTAAGGACTGTCAAATTATAACTAATAATAATTAAAAATTAAAATATCAGTTAATAAGCTAAATTTTAAATTTAAGTTTATTAARCTTTATAGGAAAACTTTCACAAAATATTTTAATCCTGTAAGTTTCYCATCAACGTAGTCCGTCATATATTTTTTCAAGTATATATGATTTTATATCACAAAATATTGCTTAAAATTGAAAATTGAAACTACTTTTWTCGGTACAAGATGTCAAGATATCAGGATGCATCATAAAAACAGATGGATTTGGATCAGGTGTAACTCGTAAATAGTGGTGGGTGGGTAGAAGGAAATCAGGAAGGGTGATGGGCATATGACCGTTGTGTTGATAGTCCAATGCAGTTTCAGTTTTTATCATGTCTATCAAAATATAAAAAGTATGCTCAACACGAACTGTGTTTTTATCCACCTTCCAAACATGTATATCGTCTTGTGTTTGTTTTTGTGCATATTAGCTGCATTGCAAAAGATTAAGTTTATATGTGTGACGTCACTTTTAGTTTATTGTTGGTTGCTCACATAAATTAATTACACATTGCCCTTTAAATAATATGCACAGTCTTATCATTGAGMATACTTCTTATTATTTATATTATAAACATTATGATAGTGTTATGTCTATGTTAGGTACACGCCACACGGCGAGGTTACCCTTTGCGGTGTAATGGTGCCGTGATTTAGAAAAGTCTACTTATTACCTATGATATAGAGGTATAATACATATTATGACGTACATCACAAACAATTATTTTAGAACAGCTATTATAACACTCCAATCGTAGAATATGATATTTGTATTATAAAATTAAAATTAAATTTATTATACCTACTAAGTAAAGTAAAAAGCAAAAAACAGTAGGTAATCATTTTATAGCAGAGTGGATTTCAAGCAAAGTTTTTATATAATTTGGCAATAAATAAAATAATTACGTTTTATGAAGTTGTTAGGTGTATGAAAAAAAAAATGTTTGTATCAAGCTACTATAAGGGTCAATTTTATTGCGCCATTACATATAATATAATTATGCAAAACAATTAAAATTATATAGGTCATAATAAAGTATCAATATACTACGAGTAATGTGTATTCAATAATAATAACATAAATTATTTGTATAGATATTACTATCTACCTATATAACATATGTAAGTATATTTAATTATTGTATATAATAACTTCTCGTGTTTGTATAAATATTGACTTATATAAAAAAAAGTATTTTTAACTTACATAATAAAAATTGCATCAATTCATTACGGCACACCATCAAAGAATTTTAGATTCTGAACGAAGTGATGAATGTATTGATTTTACAATGATGTGTGTTTTTTGCAAAATC